CTGTTTGAGTCCTCTGGCTTGCTCGGTTAGGTTAGTGGACGAAACTTTCAATTAACGTTTTCATGACGTTTTGAAACCTTAGGCAAATTTCCTGCCCTCCTAACCTACGAGAACACCCTTAACTTACTGCTTTGGAAAAAAAAAATAAAAAAAAAAATTAAATTTTTGTTAATTTCCAAATTACGTCCATTTTCGCCGATATGGGCAAACGGCCAAATTCAGACATAATTTGTAAGAGGGACAGGTTGAACAAACTGCATGTTCTTGAGAGTAGAACACGAGTTCATGGGCACGTTCCCAGGGAGCCGGTCGGCCGAGCAGACAGCACTCTGGATTTGTGATCCTGTGGTCCTGGGTTCAATCCCAGGCGCCGGCGAGAAACAATGGGCAGAGTTTCTTTCACCCTATGCCCCTGTTACCTAGCAGTAAAATAGGTACCTGGGTGTTAGTCAGCTGTCACAGGCTGCTTCCTGGGGGTGGAGGCCTGGTCAAGGACCGGGCCGCGGGGACACTAAAAAGCCCCGAAATCATCTCAAGATAACCTCAAGGGAGATAACCCATGGCCTTCCTCTTACCACTGTAATCGGCAGTGGGAAACGGCTTTGGCAAGGTTGCGTATTGGCCATACACGCTTAACTCACAGGGACTTAATGGAGCGTCGCCCTACTCCTTATTGTTCAAACTGCATTGTCCCTTTTACGGTCGTGCATATATTTGTCGAATGTCCTGACCTATCCTTGTCGAATGTCCTGACATATCTTTGTCGAATGTCCTGACATATCCTTGTCGAATGTCCTGACTTCAGGAAGAACGTGTGCCTTGCTTCCCGACCGTCCCTCGCGGTCACCTGTCCCTCAATATAATTTTCGGCGAATCGAATACTTCTGATATCGTTCGTCTTATGCGTGTCTGTTCTTATATTGGCATCCTTAGTGATATTTAGTGCCTCTCTGATTATTCCGCACATTTGATGGTGCTGCACAGCCTTCCCGGCTTGGTGCCTTCTTGTGATAATTACTTACTCAAAGAAAAAAAATTGTTTGACCTGCAACAATAATCGAATTTATCTGTGACATTTATTTATACATAATCAATTTATTTATTTATATATTTACCTAATCAATATACAATTTGTACCTAATCCCAATTACTATTAAGTTTTAGTCTAAGTGGGTTTTTCCCCCACACCTTGCCCGATACGCTATGCGTATTTAGTAGATTTTGGTATTGTATGTACTAGCTCTATCTATAAATCCAACATTATGTTTGTAAATCAACTATGCATGTAATTTTCCTGTATGTATGTAATGTAATAATTAAAAATTTATTTATTTATTTATTTATTAATATATGCCATATATATATATATATATATATATATATATATATATATATATATATATATATATATATATATATATATATATATATATATATATATATATATATATATATATATATATATATATATATATATATATATATATATATATATATTAGTATATTTTGGTAGCAGTCTTTCCTGTAGACATATTTTATTAAATATGACCGAAAAAGTAAGATTAATAATTCTAACACGAATTTTCTCAATCTTTCGTACATTATGCTTCACTGTTGGAGGTAAATCAAAAATCACTTCTCCAAAATTCATTTTATTTCTAGTCTGACGCGACACGGGCGCGTTTCGTAAAACTTATTACATTTTCAAAGACTTCACAAATACACAACTGATTAGAACTTGCAAGTTCTAATCAGTTGTGTATTTGTGAAGTCTTTGAAAATGTAATAAGTTTTACGAAACGCGCCCGTGTCGCGTCAGACTAGAAATAAAATGAATTTTGGAGAAGTGATTTTTGATTTACCTCCAACAGTGAAGCATAATGTACGAAAGATTGAGAAAATTCGTGTTAGAATTATTAATCTTACTTTTTCGGTCATATTTAATAAAATATATATATATATATATATATATATATATATATATATATATATGTTGTACATTAAGTTAGTAATATTTCATTATATAACATACTTTATTACTGATGTTGAAAACATTTAATCAAAGAAAATATTGAATTGGAAAGCATTGAAAGTTCATCCATGTGTTTATTTAAAGTAACACTTACATGAATGACATATATATCTCTAAGAAATTTTAGTCTTTTTGGTTAATACTGATGCTGTGATCATAAATTTTGGAGCCCACACACCGAGCAAATCCGTTACATTCAGTGAAATACCGCCGTCAAACCACATGGATAGTTGTCAAGATATTTGTGATGGTCTAAAAGCATATTACAATTCCAGTAATTGTCGACTTGTAAAATGGCAAGTTAATCTTCGTCCTAAACAGAGATTATTCTCAATTTATAACTATATTGTATTATAAATCGTTGGTTTAAAATATAAAAAGTGTATGCTTAAAACATTTTCTTTGAAACAACCTAATGAATTTGATTTTCTGTAAATGAAATTCAAAGGTTCACTTAAATAGTTTTCAAATTTTATATATCATATTTTGGCACAACTTAATGCAACGTAACTAAACCTCAAAATAAAGTAACCTTAATCGAACTTAACCATGGAAAGAGAGAAGATAATAGCACTAATTACGTTGTCGTTCTGAATCCATTACCGTGAGTGGATTTCCTCCCTGAGGACAGGTTGACATTTTGAACACTTCTTGTGTGTAACGTACAATTATGTTATGTTGTTGGGTGAATTAGGTTCACAGTGGGCCTTCATATTTATTTTAGTAGTCTTGGTTACAGCAGTCAGTTGCTGGCAGTGTCGTAGACGTTGAGACAGAACTTGGAGCAGAGCAAAGAGCTGAGTGAGGCCGGAGTCGCGGAGCTCCATGCCGGAGACCGTGGCGGCTCGATGCGGGATGGTGAGTGTCCAAACTTGATGAAATGGTGAGTGTCTAAACTCGATGAGATGATGAGTGTCTAAACTCGATGAGGCCGAAAGCGTGGTAGGTCGATGCAGTTGTATTCTGCTGTCTGCTGTGTCGAAGCTAGAGCGTCTTGGGGGTCGATTAGAACTATATACGCCGAGTGCTACATTCTTGGTGTTGAAGAGGTATGATAACTCCGAAGTGTGTGTACTGAAGTTAACGGAATCACTGTGGAAATTATACTGATGGTTGCTCGCTTCTCAATTGCTTATATGATTGGACTACACCTCATCTCATCATCCTACAATAGGTCGGTGGGGTGGAAGGAATGTTACCTGTAATTAGGGAAAAGATTTAAGTGATGTCATTAGTGTTAATGAGAGGTTTGCTTCTCTCCTTTAGCTAATGAGTTTGGAACGAGTATATTGTTTATACTCACTACAGAACTCCCCCTGCCAGGGAATGAAAAAAAAGCAATGCAAAAAATACAAGGCTACTGTTCGCTGGGTCGCCGTGGAGCATGTAGTCCCGTACCAAAAGATGCAGGCAGCATGTAGACAAGCTTGATGTAGAAGCAGAGAAGAATGTGCACGATTCTTGCATCCTTGGTCTCTGGTGGAGCATTTAGATCCGGGGCGGATGCGCTTGGGCACCAGGACCATAGGAGGTAGTGTAGGAACCTAGTTAGGACAACGAGGGAATCACCGTTAGAGCTGAATTGTCCTGGACGCGGCAAAAAGTCGGAAATTGCAAGCTGTAGGTCCTGTTCTGTGCAAGGAAAGTGTTTGAGTCGGCAGCATAGCAGAATGCAGTAAATGTGTAGATGAATCTGTTGAAGAGCAGTTGTCGTGGGAGTCCTCTGTAGAACCAGCAGTGTAAGAGGTAACTGGCAACGACGGAGAGTCAGCAGGACAGGCTGTAGATCCCGCATGATGTAGTTACTGATGAGGCTGTCGGATGAGTAAATAACGATCGTGGTGCAGCAAGCCGTAGCAGATAAAAATGCAGAGATGATCGCGGTGAAAATCATAGCTGTGGCAAGGTTGCAGACAGCGTTCCACAGCAGGTGGTAGTGGTCTACAGCAGGCCATATTGTAAATTGTCCGGGCTGGGTGGCGGGGTATTGTCGAAACTCTCTGGAGTCACCAATGAAGCGTACGATTATGTTACGTTGTTGGGTGAATTAGTTACACAGTGTTTAGTGGGCTTTCATATATATTTCGTAGTCTTGGTTACAGCAGTCAGTTGTTGGCAGTGTCGTAGATATTGAGACAAAACTTGGAGCAGAGCAGAGAACTGAGTGAGGCCAGAGTCTCTGAGCTCGATGCGTGAGAGCGCGGCGGCTCAATGCGGGATGGTGAGTGTCCAAACTCGATGAGATGGTTAGTGTCTAAACTCGGTGAGATGGAGAGTGTCTAAACTCTATGAGTCCGAGAGCGTGGTAGCTCCATGCGGTCGTAGTCTGCTGTCTGCTCTGTGTCGAAGCTGAAGCATCATGGGGTCGATTAGAACTGCATACGCCGAGTGCTACATTCTTGAGATTGAAGAGGTGTGGTAACTCCGAAGCATCTGTACTGAAGTTAATTGAATCACTGTGGAAGTTATACTGATGGTTACTCTTTCTTGATTGCTTATATGATTGGACTACACCTCATCTCATCATCCTCCCAATAGGTTGGAAGGGTGGAAGAAATATTAACTGTAATTAGGGAAAAGATTTGAGTGATGTCATTAGTGCTTTTTTCAGGGATATTCTTGCGCGGGCCCTAAGCCTTTGGCTGGCCCACTAAGTGTTGCTTGTTTCCGCTTTACTTGGGCGGAGTATGAGAATTTATGACTCGTATGGTCGCTTCAGTAAGATTTTGCCATATGTGTTTAACAACTTCTGCTCTGTTGAATCTAAGTTGAGATCTTAATGGGTTTGTAACTGTGCACTGTGTTAGATAATGTTCCAGTGGTCTGTCGGGCAATTCTCCACAGTGGTCATTAGTGATAATGAGATATTTGCTTTTCTCATTTACCTAATGAGTTTGGAGCGAGTATATTGTTTATACTCGCTACACATGTATTTGTTAAAACAATGACATAATAAATGACTTTACAGATGCTTGCAGACCCCGAGTGTGCTAAATACATCGATGGAACGGCTGTCCACTGGTATTCTGACAACATCATTTCCCCGGAAATTCTGGACAAAATCCACGCTCTCTCTCCAGAAAGGTTTATTCTGTACACTGAGGCCTGTCAAGGTGAGAAGAAAGCCGACATCCTGTATAAGTAATGCTAGTATGGAGCAGAGAGAATATTCCAGCGAGCAAACTTGTGAACACAATAAGAATGACATGAATGATGATATGTAGTGTCTTGCGCGGACAGTATTCCAAAAGTTGGCATGGCAGTGCAGTCTTCACCATCAGGTTAGATGTATTCCTAACACAAAAGGCAACAATTCCCGACATTGGGAGAAATAAATCCAGTACGTATAGACTTATCGAGGTCCCCCACTAAGCCTATGGTCTAGGACAACTTCTGACCTTTCCCCAGGATGCAACCCACAACAGTTGCCTAACTCTAGGGTACCTATTCACTCCTAAATAAACAGTGACATCAGGTGAAAGGAAACGTGTGCAACCGTTTCTGTCCTGCCCAGGGACTGAACCCAGGACTCAGGATTGTAAATCGAGGACATAGACCACTGTGCTACATGATCCATATAGGTAGTGTATCCCTTGCCGTCTCTTTTTCATTCCAGTTTGTCACTATCCACTCAGCCAACAACCCCACAAAACTATTATAATTTGGAAGTCTGCCAAGAATTCTGCCATGCATTAGAAAACTTCACAACTGTCAATCTTTAGTGGAGTTCCGAAAGTGGGTGCACTGAGCCTACAAATGCGAAAGAAAGCCTGAATGGTCTCCAAACCATAAATCACTAAGAACTCTGTGACCCAACCAGATTTCTAACCTGCACTACCAAGGCTCACCCGACAGGCATACCCATTTGGGGAAAAGCGACTAGCAGGAATTTATTTATTTAATAATTTATTAATTATTTAATTTATTGAATTATTTATATTTATTTTATTTTTTATTTCTTCTAAGTAAAGCAGACTGTATATTTATAAACTGCCCTGCTAGTAGATTTCTTTCACAGGTTGTGGGGGGTTTAATTATTTTATACAAAATCGAAATTATTAGGTTGCTAGAAATTTGCTACTAATGGTTAGTCTACTATGCCAAACTGGGTCAGTAACCTAAATATTCCAGCTTAGTTGTTATGCAGAATGTGGCCTGGTTAATGAACAATAGACACGTCCACATCGCATAAGCTGTGTTACGAACCCGACTCCATTGTCGGAGCATGGAGCAGCGACGTCAATGCCATCTGTGAGTCTGCTCCCTAAACCCCCACTAAATGGACGAGGCCATCTGACGGTGTCAGTATGATACCTGCAAGAGACGCTAAATTCCTGCCCTGGTCAGCCTGAAGAGTCGCTGTTGCTGACCTCTGGTGAGGTGGTGCCTAGAAAATCAATGCCATCTATTGTGGGAGGAGTTGTATGTTTATGTCAGAATCCGTAAGTTGTATTTCCTAGTGTCCCCAGTACTGGCTAATTTACTGATGACGTGCAGGCGATGAGTCACAATAACGTGGCTGAAGTATGTTGACCAGACCACACACTAGAAATTGAAGGGACGACGACGTTTCGGTCCGTCCTGGACCATTCTCAAGTCGATTGTGAGAATCGACTTGAGAATGGTCCAGGACGGACCGAAACGTCGTCGTCCCTTCAATTTCTAGTGTGTGGTCTGGTCAACTTACTGATGACGTGTCTGTATCCACAGAGGCGAAGTAGGGCTACAGTGGTACGAGGGTAGTCAGTCTACCCAGGGTTACCTATTATCTCTCTACTACATCCTGCTTTACGTGAGCAGTGAGCCACCGCCGAAAAGGAACTGAGTAGTATCTGCTGTCTGCCTGTGAAGTGGCAGTGGGAGAATTCGGCGTATCCCGGGACTGGCTGGAGGAAGAGACTACCGACAGTGAGGTGCTACGGAGGAGAGTAACTAGCTAGTTGCAAGAAGCTCCTGCCAGGGGTTTGCTACCTTTTGTATTTGTTCGTGTAGATGCCCAGCAGCGCGTGGTTGATGTCCTCTGCCAGCACCAGGCTGGAGAGTGATTGTGAGCGTTCACAAGGAGCACCTAGTGAGACTGTGGATAGGCTGGCCCATGACTAGGGTAGATTCGTTGGTGTTTCCCAGTACTGGTTGAGGCCGGTACTGTGTGTTGAGGAAACACGGAAGTTGACAAGGCTGCATTGCATGAACATCGAGGAGCGCTTAGTGTCCTATGAGAGCGACACATGTGTATATATCATTGTAGTAATACTTCGTTTATGATTCTATTTAAGGTTATGGGAAAGGTGAATATATTGATAATTGAAGTGCCGTATTCCTTTAAACTCCCCCATGTTATATTACTTGCATTACCAAGCCTACTCCTTGACAGCCACTACAGACTTGGGGTCGGATACTATAGCACTTTGGTTCCTCCAACAAAGAGCCCAGTTGCGACCCATAGTGGCCATAACAATGTGTCGGTAATGTGTCTACAAATGTTTATTGTCGCAATATTACCTATTGTAATTTTAATGAAATTTTAACATGTACAGTTTCACACATTATTTACACAGTAACACTGTATTACACCCTCAGTACTTCGTGAGTAATAATCAACGAAGTATCCCATGGTACACAGCGCGACTACGCTCCCAGTGCACCAGGTACAGATAAATTTTCGCTTCCTGTTTCTTCATTCTGTGTGCTTGCAAATGACGCACTCGCGTACACCCATGGCTTTAGTACTTGTAGGTTGTATGTAGCAAAGCTTGTAAAGCATAAGGTAGTATTGAAAAGATTATAGGAAAAGATCAATTTGTAAGGAAAGTCTTGAAAATATCGCTTTGTATGGTCTTGTTTTAACATTATCTTGGTGGCAGATGTAGGTGCAGAATGTTCACTAGCGAGTCCCATTCTTCAACGGCTTTTCTAATCATTGTAGTTGCTGTGGAATGTGCATCTAATACAGCTGCTGTCGTTGGATTAATGTAGAGTTTGATGCGCAGGGCTTCAGTAGCTTTACATTCCAGTAAGTAGTGCAACAGGGCACCTCTACTTCTGTTCCACAGATTTGATACTCTTTTTGAATATTGGGTTTATTACCTCCCAGTAGGACTTGTAACAAAGTCTGAGTCTGTGTATGGCTACTGCAATATCTCTGGATATCTTTTTGTCAGGCTTGAAAGAGTAGTACCCAGTGGCTTGTTCGTACCATATCGCAGTGGATCTTCCTTCTGCTACTTTGGCTCTGTGGCGACTTTTGATAGTTGGGAGTATTTTCTTCTTGATTTGCTCCATAATCTGTGAAAAACTTGGAGGTATTTGAACCTGTACATCAGTGAGAGCGGTGGCAGTTTTTGCTAGAATCTGCCTTTTCATTACCCTCTGTCAATGTGACTTGGTATCCAATTTAGGGTGATTGACAGCCCTAGATTGTTTTTTTTTTCCTATATGTTTTAGTTTTGTTCGGTTCCCAGCCATGTTGGTGTGTCTTGAAATGAGAGTGCAGATGCTGCCGCTAAGGAAGCTATCCCCACTTGTCCCATCTCCCGTAAAGGTATTTCTTATTCAGACTTTTACCCAGTTATTCATTCCTCCATCCTTGCCCGTTGGCAGGGTTGTTGGTCTCCTGTTACTGGTAACAAAATGCGTATTCTTAAGAGTAGTGTATCCTCATGGCTGTCGTCCTACCACCGTAACCGGCGATAGGAAATGGCTCTGGCTAGGTTACGTATTGGCCATACACGTTTAACTCATGGTTACTTAATGAAGCGCCGCCCTGCTCCTTATTTTCCAAATTGCATTGTTCCTCTTAAGATCGTGCACATTCTTGTTCAATGTCCTGACTTCCAGGACGAGCGTGTCTTGCTTTCCGACTGTCCCTCACGGTTAATTGTCCCTCAATAGAATTCTTGGTGAATCGGATACTTTTGATATCGTTCGCCTTGTGCGCTTTTGTTCTCGTATTGGCATCCTTGGTGATATTTAGCACCATCTGATTATTCCGCATATTTGGTGGTGCTACATAGCCTTCCCGGTTTGGTGCCTTCCTTTGATAAATTACTTTTCCTATGTTTGATTTCTGTGAGGAGTTGTATATTATCTCTGTGCTGACTGGATAACAATGCCTGGAGCAAAGATTTAGTCGGTATGAATGATGACATCATGCAAATTATTCTAAATTGTATAGTTTATGGCCTCCTTCAGGGCATATAATTCTGTTTGCAATGTTGAGCACCCACTATTCATGCTCCAGTAAGCTTCATGGTTGTTAGTGTAAACTGCTGCCCCAGCAGAACCTCTCTTGATCAACTGATCCATCTGTGAAGAAGAGTCGTTGTAGGTCTAGTTTCCATTTTGTTGTTCTATGACTGCTTTGAGCCTCTGAGAGTCGCATGCCGATTTTTTAACTGGAACTCCTTCAATGATTATCTTTAGACTCGATTCTTCCCATGGAGGAGGCTGCCGAAAGTGTTGATATGGTCTATCTTCTCCTTTGTTTTTAATGGTCCATTTATTTATATCCACCCAATCCCATTCATATACGTGTCATTGTACCCCCACTTTACTTCACCTCTCTCCTGCCTATATAACCAATCTACTGATTTGTAAATCCATCCTTATGAAGATGTATTGTTAAATACGAAAGTACTTAAGGAAATTACTGTTTCAATCCTTCCTTCGTGGTCTGACACTATCACATTTTTCATCACGTTAATTTTCGTGATTTACACACATAATAGAATTATGTATGTTCATGTTTGAAACGTAGATGCTTGGGGGAACTTTGTATAAAAGTTCTGTAGGGTGAATGGTAGGTGTTAGAAAACTGGCATAGACTGATCTAGACGAGGCCCCATTGCCCTTTTGTCAGGTACATTGGTTCCCATGACGATCCCTATGAAGCCAGTGGAAATGAAATAGTGACTGCCAAGTACATAGTTTCATGATCTGTCCTTAATAGCGGGTCGACCCCAGGCACTGCCCCCAACAACCTAATCGTTAATATATACATGTATTTATTTGCTAGAATTGACCTTCATCTTTAACATATTATATACTTTATACATTGTTGACGAATAAATATATTTTTCAGGATGGGACGTTGAGGGGTCGGAATTAAGTGTCAATCTTGGGTCATGGCTGCGTGCTGAACAGTACGTCCACTCCATGTTAGATGTGAGTACCGCCTTCAGTTATAATTACGTTAGCAAAATAAATATAGCACTTTAATGACCATTTATTGTTCTTCCTCAAACGTGCAGGAAAAGATCGTTCTCTCTATAAAAAGTATTGTATTATGGTAAAATGTTGTGATGTTTGCAGGCCGTGAACCACTACTCGACGGGCTGGGTGGACTGGAACATGGCTCTGGACACGCTGGGGGGACCCAACTGGGCTAACATCTTCCTCGACGCTCCCGTCATTATCGACGCCGTCAGTATACACCAAATATTATCCTCAATTCTCTAGTCATTCAATATAGTTTAGATTGTATTATATATAATTCTGAAGTGGTTCTTCTGTCGGTAATTAATATACTAGACATGTAGTTGCTGATGTAGTTCTGTAGAGCATATGTCTCTAAGGTGTTTCAAAGAATACACACTATATTAGCTTTTTGCAGAGGTGTCTGTGGGAAGGCACTCTAATCACATACATATGAACATTACAATGTTCATATTTATAGAATTCGCAGTGTAATAATAGTAACGTTTGTTTACGTATGAGTCTGGGTGTCGAAACAAAGTTTTTTGTGGTTTTTATATTTTTTTAAGGCTTGGTTACAGAAGTCAGATGGTTGTAATGCAGTGGCGTGTTGTGACAGCTGAGACGAGGCCTGAATCAGGGAGCAGAGAACTTGAGTAAGGCCGGGGGGTATATAGAGCTCGGGTATGGGTTGAGAGCATAGAGCGTGGAGCTCAGATGCGGAGTGAGAGCATTAGTGCATAGAGCTCGGATGCAGGATGAAAGCATGGAACTCGGATATGGGTGAAAGCATGGAGCTCAGATGTGGGGTGAACGCGTGGAACTCGGATGCGGGGTGAGAGCATGGAGTTCGGATGCGGGGTGAGCTCGGGTGCGGAGTGAGAGTGTGAAGTTCGGATGTGGGGTGAGAGCGTAGCAGGGAGCTCGAATTTGGAGGGATCTATGAGCTATAATGCAAGATGAGAGCTGGAAGCTCTGATACGACCATAGTCTGGCTGTCTGCTCTGTAGCGAGGCTGAAGATTCTTGTGAGAGTAGCAACTGGGCTCGACGAGTGTCGCATTGTTGCTGATGAATGTCGATGGTGTTTAAGATCCGAGGTGTATCTTTTGAGTGTCTGTACTAAACCACATTTCGAGTTAGACTGGCTAACGATGTTTCCATTCTTGGGGCTTATGTTACAAGCTTCTCCCCACTTTGTTAAATAGATTAACATTCAGCAGGTTACCTCACGGCGTCCTGGGTGATGTCTGTATCCTTGGGAAGATATATTAATTGTAATTAGTGGACCTAGGATTATTGTAGAACTTCTTGGCATGTGGACCTCTCAGGAATAAGTTAAGTGGAGTTAACTGGCACATATAATTGCTTGCACTGAAACTAATGGGAATATGGATAAATTATATTAGTTATATAACTGATTCATACCAATTACATTTTACCTCTGCAGGAAGCTAAGGAGTTTTACAAGCAGCCAATGTTCTATGCCATCGGTCATTTGAGCAAGTTCGTGGTTCCCGGTGCTAAGCGGATCTCCAGCTCGACCTCGTCAAACTGGCTGGAGGCGGCCGCCTTCATCGACCCGTCAGGACGCACTGTCGTCGTTGTCCTCAACAAGTAAGAAAGGAAACTGATTCGAGCTCAATATGTTATCTCTCAGGGTGTTTCAATTGTCTTGTTGCAAAATACAGCCGACTTATGACATACAAAGGTAACGTTGTATTCATTGTTTTTATATGTACGATCTTAACCAAGTTTTGTTCAAATAGGAAAATAATCATACATTGTCACTATCATTAAGCATGTACGGTAGGTACAAATGTATGTAATGAAAACTAAATTAACCAATTCACTGAAGGCCAACTATAGAGGCCTGAAAATTCTTGCTTACACTGTACGAAATCAATCATGACTGATTTTAGAAATGATGTATGCACAATATTTTACACTTATACTTATATAATATCACACATAATACACTTTATGTATATTAAGAGACTGGTTTGTATTAACATTAAGTTGTTATAAGGAACTATTATCACATCTTGCCACTCGTCTGGAACCTAGATTCATGAAGTGTCATGTATTTCTTCTTATGTCGTTGTGTTATGAAGTGTTCTTCAGTTCTCTCTCAGATCTGTACGCATGGTTCAAAAGGTGATCATATGCAGTTATTAGTAATTTTGGTGCTAATTAGTTAATTGTTGCTAATTAGCAATTAGCAACTTAATTTTCGATAGATGTCACTAGTGCTTTTCGTTTGGACAAGCAGAGAGAAGGTAACATTGTTCATATTATTGTTCAGCCAATCACGGTGCTGCCTCGGCTGGAGAAGTGTCCAATCACATATATACTTGTTTCCAGACCGGGAATTATAATAGTGTAAATTATAGTGCCTGAACACCGGCGATGTATAACTTTGTCTTTGTTCACACATAAGCTATAGTCTATGAAATGTGGTCATAATAACGTTTATATTTAAGCCAATCAGAGTGTATTTAAAACGTTAAGTATTATTAACAAACGTAATCAGTATCAATATTTCTTACATCACGGCTCCCATTGATCGGTTGTCACCTGATACCTATTTACGTCTTATTTTATAATAAAACTAGTTTATTTCGAAGTAAAATTATGCCTTTTAAAGTTCTACAGTCAGTACTGACATTATAGTAAACAATGTTACATTTTTTTCTTTACCTACAGAGAATTCTAAGAGATATTGCCTGGCTTCGTTGGCTTTGTGTAACTGAACGGACTCCAAGGAACCCTCATTAAAACAATTGTATCTTTGCACAAATCCAAAATATTGTGGTATTATATATAAGAATAAATGTGTATCTTTCCTCTATTATGGACTCATAATAACTGTTATAGTTATTATGAGTCTATCCACCGTCCTGGATAGAAAATAGAACTTTAAGCATTATTAGCAGATTTTTGTCTATTTATCAACCTGTCCTCTTACAAATTACGTCTGAATTTGTCCGTTTGCTCGTATGGCTGAAAGTGGACGTAATTTGAAAATGAAAATGTTTAAAAATAAATTTGACCTTTTTTTTCCAAAACAGTAAGTTAAGGTCCTCTTGTAGGTTAGGAGGGCAGGAAATTCTCCTAAAGTTTCAAAACGTCATGAAAAACGTTAATTGAAAATGTTCTCTCCTAACCTAACAGCCTAAGCTGTAGGACCCAAACAGAAAACGGGACAGTACATCACTTTCGTGAGCCGATTTTATTTCAAATTACGTCCATTTTTGGCCAAGTGTGCATACGAGAGAAAAGCGACGTTATTTTTAAGAGGACGGGTTGTTTTATGACGTTTTGAAAATTTAGGAGAATTTCCTGCCTCCTAACCTACCAGAGGACCCTTAACTTCCTGATTTGAAAAAAAAACGAATTCAAGAGGGACTTGAACAACGAGAACTTCTCCGCTTTGCTAAAGTGTCGTTATTTTTGTTCACAGGGATGATGATGAAGAACAGCTGACAGTGACAGACGGCTCCTCATATTTCCTCAACTTCAAGATACCTCCCAAAGCCATCCAGACTATCCTGTACTAGCATTCTCTAGGACCTAGATAGATCCTGTTATTGAACAAGACACTAGCTACATCCTGTCATTGAACAAGACACTAGCTACATCCTGTCATTGAACAAGACACTAGCTACATCCTGTCATTGAACAAGACACTAGCTACATCCTGTCATTGGACAAGACACTAGCTACATCCTGTCATTGGACAAGACACTAGCTACATCCTGTCATTGGACAAGACACTAGCTACATCCTGTCATTGGACAAGACACTAGCTACATCCTGTCATTGGACAAGACACTAGCTACATCCTGTCATTGGACAAGACACTAGCTACATCCTGTCATTGGACAAGACACTAGCTACATCCTGTCATTGGACAAGACACTAGCTACATCCTGTCATTGGACAAGACACTAGCTACATCCTGTCATTGGACAAGACACTAGCTACATCCTGTCATTGGACAAGACACTAGCTACATCCTGTCATTGGACAAGACACTAGCTACATCCTGTCATTGGACAAGACACTAGCTACATCCTGTCATTGGACAAGACACTAGCTACATCCTGTCATTGGACAAGACACTAGCTACATCCTGTCATTGGACAAGACACTAGCTACATCCTGTCATTGGACAAGACACTAGCTACATCCTGTCATTGGACAAGACACTAGCTACATCCTGTCATTGGACAAGACACTAGCTACATCCTGTCATTGGACAAGACACTAGCTACATCCTGTCATTGGACAAGACACTAGCTACATCCTGTCATTGGACAAGACACTAGCTACATCCTGTCATTGGACAAGACACTAGCTACATCCTGTCATTGGACAAGACACTAGCTCCTGTCATTGGACAAGACACTAGCTACATCCTGTCATTGGACAAGACACTAGCTACATCCTGTCATTGGACAAGACACTAGCTACATCCTGTCATTGGACAAGACACTAGCTACATCCTGTCATTGGACAAGACACTAGACCCCCTCCCCGCTCAGCTCGTTGTCGCCGTGTGGGGGCTTCGTGGGCGGCTGCTGGAGTGTGATGCTCCTTAGGACAGTCCTCTGTCCTTTTCTAGCCTTGTGCTCCTGCTGCCGTCCTCTCCAATTCTGCTGGGCACCTTTTCCTTTTCCTTCTGTTTCGTTTTTCTCCCCCCTCTTCTCCTATCTGCTTGCCGTTTCCTGCCGACCTTTTGCTCGTTCTGGTTCTTCCATGGACTTCTTCTATTTTGACGCCCGGGTGCTTGAGGAGGCATACTCATGCACCCGTAGAACTGCAGTACCCGACGTCGAGAGCGAGGGGAACCTTTTATTGTCAATCCCCACTTCGTCACTGAACCCGATCTCGACGGACTGTCGGTTTCTTAAGGTGGCGTTTGTGGGGCGTATACTCACGACGCACCCCTAGGAGGCCCCGACAAGATCGGCGATAGCTTCTTGTTGGGTGTCCTGCCTCTAATTGTGGCTCCATGGTGGGTGTGGGGGCACATTCGTGAGTGAATTCTTAATTTCGTCAAGATGATAACCCCTGTTTCGGCTGCTTCTGGCTTACCTTTTCAGGCTCGTGGGGTGGGCGACCAAGCCCCCGAGTCGGTCCGTATTGGAAGACCGGGCTCTGTAGCCTCCGCTGCATTGGGCCCCGACCTTGCTCCTCCTTTGGCCTCTCTGACTCCTTCCCCTGGCTCCCCTCCCTCCTCTGTGGTTGGGTCGAGCCCCAAGCCCCCAGTGGTGACTACCTCGTCCCCTGGCGCGGCTCCTTCTCTAGTTGTAACTACTGCGCCTTTTAACCCCTCTCTCTCTGGGGGTTCTCACCGCCGTCCTCGTCACGGCCGCCCTCGCTCGATTCCTTCCAGTTCTGCTACCTATCAAGCCTTGTTTGGTCCCGCTTCGTGGGCCAAATATTTTGATCTCCTCCCTCTTGATTCTGCGCCTCCTGACGATTTCTCCCTTCATCGACATCTCATTGATTCCGTGGATGCCTCCATTACTTTCAACCCCACTCGTCTCGGTACACGTGTCGTTGCTGCTCCTTCTCAGGATGCTGCTTCCCGCTTGGCTGCCTTATCCTGCCTTGGCGAGACCCCCGTTCGGGTCTCGAAGAACGCTCAATTGAATGCCAGTGTTGGCACTATTTTGCTCCCGCCCCATGTTGCAACCGGTGTTCGGGACCTGCGCGACTGCCACGACGATATTCGCCATATCCTCGCTGCCCAGGGCCATTCTATTCTCCAGGTGGACACGTTTACTCGTCCCCCTCGTGGTAGTCGCCGTCAACCCCTCCGGGTTGTGAAGATTACCTTTGATGGTAGGACCCTTCCACCCTCTGTCATTCTTGCTGGTGCCAGGTGCTCTGTCCAGGAGTACATTCCTTCTCCTCGGCTCTGCAACAAGTGCTGGAGGTTTGGGCATGGTGCCCTCCGCTGCTCCGGGACTGTCTCTCTCTGTCCTTTGTGTGGTGGCGAAGGTCACTCTAAGTCGGAGTGCACTTCTCCCCAGGCTCGTTGCCTCAACTGCGGTGAGGCCCATCCTACCTTCTCCCGTGCGTGTGTCCATTACAAGCTTGAGGCAGCCGTCCTCAACCTGAAGCACCGGGAGCGTTTATCTTTTCCTGAGGCGAGGCGCCAGGTTCGCCGGCTCCCGCCTTATGCTAATATCTCTTATGCTCGCGTGTTGCGCTCTTCCTCTCCTCGTCCTTCCCGCCTTCCTCAGACTCACAACCGTTTCCGGGCCTTGGACCCTGATGCGCCCACTGCCCCCTCCTCTGTTCCTTTGGGTTCTCTCCCGAAGGATCCTCCTCCTGGTCCTCTGTCTGGGGTTCCCCTTCCTTCTACCCGGTCTGTCGTGTCTTCTGTGTCTTCTTCCTCGTCCCCCTCCGATCCTCCTTCCCATCCTCTTCCTCCATCTATTGGCTCTCCCCACCGCCTGTCGGTGCGGGCGGATGTCCATCGCTCTCCTAACGGCCGTCGTGTGTGCTCTCGTTCGGCTTCTCCTGTTGAGACACTGGAATCCGTTGCCCGGTACGTAGTTGCTGGGACACCGGTCTCTTTAAGTCAGAAGCGTAAGCCTGGCTCCTCTCCTTCCTCTTCCCCGGCGGGTAAGAAGGCTTCGCTTTCTTCCTCAGCTCCTCCTTCTGGCTCTGTTGCTCCTTCCCCTCCCGTTTCAGTGCTTGCGCCCCCTGTTCCTGCTATGGAGGTTTCTTTGGCCCCTGCTTCCCTTTCGGTTGCTGCTCTTGCTGGGGTGCGCTCCCCTCTTTCTACTCCCCCTCCTCCTGCTGCTGTCCTTGACGGCTCCTCTCCGTTGTCTCCTCCTCTTCCTCCTCCTCCTCCAGACCCTGCCCGCCCACCTCTGCTCTGTTCTCCCGTTTCCTTCCCTCCGTCTTTGCTCAGTTTACCCATGCCCCCTAACCCTGACTTTGCTGACCCTGATCCCGACCCTGATATTCTTTAACGTGCTCTGTTGCTCTTTCGCCTTTGTTTCTTCCTTGTTCTCTGTTTTTGTCCTTTCTCTTCTCGTCGTTGTCCATTCTTCAATGGAACGTTCGAGGTTATTACGCCAATTTCCTCGAACTCCAACTTCTGATTTCGCGGTTTTCGCCCCTTTGTGTCTGTCTCCAGGAGCCAATGCTTGGTGCTCGTCCTGGTCGTTTTCGTGGCTATTCCTTTCTCTCCCCCCCCCCAGCCATTGCTGGGGCTTCTAATTCTTCTGCTCTTTTGATTCGGGCTGATGTTCCCTTTGTTCCTTTACTTTTTCCTTCGCCTCTCCATTGTTCTGCTGCTCGTATCTTTGTGGGGAAATGGTACACAGTTTGTTCCATTTATCTCCCCCCGAGTGTCCCGCTCTCTCTTCCTGATTTGAAACACCTCCTGGACTCCTTGCCGGAGCCTGTGCTCCTGCTGGGTGACTTCAATTGTCGTCATTCTCTTTGGGGTGACGTTCTGACGAATACCCGGGGTCGCCTCCTTGAGCCGTTTCTCCTCTCTTCTTCCCTGTCTCTTCTGAATTCTGGTGAGCCCACTCATTTGGACTCTCGGACTCGCACCCTTTCTTGTCTTGATCTTTCTCTCTGCTCTTCTTCTCTTTACTTAGATTTCACGTGGCAGGTTCTTGATGACCTCCATGGAAGTGATCATTTCCCCATCCTTGTTTCCTTTTTCTCTTTTCGCCCTTCCCTCTCTTTCCCTAGGTGGCAGTTTGCTAAGGCAGACTGGACCCTATTTACCCTCAGTGCTGCTCTCCCTGACCTCTCCCTTCTGCCTCTCTCTCGCGCTCTCCTCCTTTTTCATGACACTGTCTTCAACGCTGCCCTCCGCTCTATTCCTCGCTCTTCCTCTCGGGGTCCACGGAAGTGCGTTCCCTGGTGGAATGCGGACTGTGCTCGGGCTGTCCGCTGTAAGCGTGCAGCCTGGAAGAGGCACCGCCGTAGGCAGACGACCGATTCTTTTCTTTTCTTTCGGAAAGCGAGTGCGGTGGCCCGTAGGGCCATCCGTACGGCTAAACGTGAATGTTGGGCATCTTATGTCTCAACAATTACGTCCGAGACCCCTCTGGCCCAGATCTGGAAGCGTATCCGCAAGATAGCGGGTAAGTTCGTTCCCGATGTTTCACCGGTCCTTCACCTCCATGATACTCTTGTGGCGGACCCGTTGCAGGTCGCTTCCGAACTGGGTTCCCATTTTTCTTCTGTTAGCTCTGGTCTTCATCTTCCCCAATCTTTCCTTCTTCGTAAACCTGTCCTTGAGTCTCGTCCTTTAGATTTCTGCACTCATCTTCAGCTTCCCTATAATGATCCCTTCTCTCTCTCTGAACTTCGTTCTGCCCTGGCCCTCTGCGGTTCTACGGCGGCGGGCTCCGATGGTATTCATTATGAGATGCTTCGCCATCTCCCTCCGAGCACGTCTCAGTATTTACTGAGTCTGTATAATCGGATCTGGGAGTCGTCGTCAGTCCCTGAGGACTGGCTCGATGCCGTTGTCCTCCCTGTTCGCAAACCGGGGTCTCTGGGTACTTCCCCTAAGGACTTTCGCCCTATTGCTCTCACAAGTTGTGTCTGCAAACTCTTTGAACGTATGGTTAACGTTCGTCTGATGTGGTTCCTGGAACACCATCACCTCCTCTCCCCTTCTCAATTTGGTTTCCGCAAGTGCCGCAGCACGACAGATGTCCTGGTGAACTTGGAGGTCTATATTCGTACTGCTTTTGCTGCGAAGACCTCCGTTGTTGCCGTCCTTTTTGACCTAGAAAAGGCTTACGACACCACTTGGCGTTATCATATCCTATCTCAACTTCATTCTTTTGGCCTTCGTGGTCATCTCCCTCTCTTTCTCCGCAGCTTCCTCTCTCGTCGTTCCTTTCGGGTGCGCCTTGGTACCGCTCTCTCTCCCTCTTTTCAGCAATACGAAGGTGTGCCCCAGGGTAGTGTTCTGAGCACTACTCTTTTTCTTGTTGCCCTCAATGGTCTTCTTTCCTCTCTTCCTTCTGGTGTCTTCTCCGCTCTCTATGTCGATGATCTTACCCTTTGTTGTCAGGGTGATGATTCGCCTCTCCTTCAACGCCGGCTTCAACTTGCAATTGATGCCGTGTCGTCTTGGGCCACAGGTCATGGCTTCAAGTTCTCTACTTCTAAGACTTGTGCCATGACTTTTACGCGGAAACGGGTTGTTCTTCGTCCCTCTTTGTCACTTTATGGTCATCCCCTTGAATACAAAGATTCCGCGAAGCTTTTGGGGTTATTCCTTGACACTCGTTTGTCTTGGTCTCCCCATATCTCTTACCTCCGTGTTGAGTGCTCTAAGGCCCTTACCCTCCTTCGGGTCTTGTCCCATACTTCTTGGGGGG